TTTTTTTTTTTTTTTTTTTTCCTGGTAGGTATCCATGGGTACATCAAGGTCTTTAATAACTGAGATGATAAAAGGAGAGAGGAGAAAAGGCAAAGGGACCCCAGCATCAGGCTCCAGAGCAGAAGGAAGCCTTTCAAATGGTGGCTACCACGATGGGAGAAATCTCTTAGAGATGGGGATACTCTGGAGGCTCAGGCAAGAAGACATCTGTCCAAACAATAGCCTGCTCCTAGAAGTGTGCCCTGCTTTAACTGCAATCAGCTAGGGCACTGGAGCAAGGGGTGCCCCAGGCATTGGGTTCCACCAGGGCCATGCTCCAACTGTATAAAGCAAGAACACCGGAAGAGTGAGTGCCCCCCTTTTAAGAAGGGAGATTGCACTCGCCTTCCAGATCCAGCAGAGCCCCCTGCACTGGCCCCCTGCATACCCACAGACCTTCTGGGACTGCTCCCGTCTGACTGATGGGCCCTGGCTCTGGATTTGACTCCACTTTGCTACATTGAAATGGCCGAGTCAAGGGTAACAGTAGCAGGTAAGCAAATGGAATTTTTACTGGACACAGGGGCCACTTACTCTGCTCTTCCTGAATTCCCAGGACTCCTATTTCCCTCTCCTATCTCCATGATCAGAGTGGAAGGTAAAAGACAAAATCCTCTGCATACTTCACAACTCCTTTGCTGACTGGGAGGTCAAGGTTTTATGTACTCCTTTCTGGTGCTCCCCAGTTGCCCCACCCCACTGTTGGGAAGAGATCTTATGGTCAGATTAGGCACCCAACTCCTTCAGACTGCTCTGGTTCCCTTCCTTGGGTTTTTAGGGAAAGTGTTATCAGACCCTCCCTTGAGCATCCCACTTCTGTTCCTAGTGAGGTATCTCAAAATGTGCCACCTGAGGTGTGGGACACCAGCACCCCAGGAAAGGCACAACACATCACCCCATTTCTAGCTCCCTCAAAGACCCTACTCACTTCCCCTGAAGGACTCAATACCCTCTTAAGTTAGATGACCTCAGGGGACTCAAGCCCCTTACTACTAAATTTCTTTGATCTGACCTCCTTCCCCCTACCAACTCTCCCTATAATGCTCCTATTTTTCCAGTAAGGAAGCCTGATGGGCTTCCCTCATCCAGGGCCTATATATTATTAATGTAGCTGTTATCCCCTCCATCCAGTGGTCCTGAATCCTCACACTCTGCTTAGCACTATACCACCCGATACACAGGTTTTCACCGTTCTTGACCTTGAAGATGGCTTCTTCATCATACCTCTCTCTCCTGACTCCCAAGACCTATTTGCTTTCAGCTGGACTGACCCTGACACAAATCATTCACAACAGCTCACCTGGACTTCTTTGCCCCAGGTGTTTGGAGATAGCCCCCACTTCTTTGGACAGGACCTGTCTATACTTTCTCTGTCTGGTAGCTCACTTTTCTGGTGTGTTGATGATCTCCTCTTTTCAGTCCTGACCATTCTACTTCTCTTCTTAACACTTTCCGTGTCCTCACACACTTAGCACTTAAAGGATATCAGGTTCACCAGGAAAGGCTTGGATCAGTCAACCCATAGTCACTTACTTGGGGTTCCAGCTATCTCCAGGAAAGTGAGCTATTACCACCCAGCACAAACAATTTATTTCCTCTATGGATACCCCAGCAACCAAAAGGGATCTTAGAGCTTTTCTGAGGTTAACAGGCTACTTTCATATATGGATTCCCCCAATATGGGCTCATTGCTAAAGCCCTATATGAGGCCCTCCCAGGCCCAGAACAGGGACCTTTAGGTTGAAAGTCCCCTCTTCTGTAAGCCTTTAAGATCCTGAAATCTGCACTGGTAGGAGCCCCCACTCTAGCCTTTCCTAACAATAATAAACCTTTCTATTTGCATGTGCATGGATAAGGGACAATTGCTCTTCGAGTATTAGGATAAAAGTCAGGACTCAATTTCGAGAGTCCCTTATTTTCCTAAAAATTTGGATAACACAGCTAAGGGACAGGCATCTTGTCTAAGAGCCCTGGCCCCTGGCAGCCACAGCCCTCTTTGTCCAAGAGGCTGACAAACTGACATATGGACAGCCAACTCAGGTCTATACCCCTCAGGTATAGGTTCTTGATGTCTTAAACAACAGAGCTCATCACTTCCTACCTCTAGCTGTATTACTCAGTACCAAACCTTACTTGTAGATAACCCTTCTATCACTCTTGTCCCGTGTTCAGCCTTAAACCCTTGCTACCCTGCTTCCCATTTCTCCCAAGCCCCCAGAACACTCCTGCCTAGAAATCTCGGAGAAATCCACTGCAGTTAGACTGGACCTCTCTGATTCCCCACTACTTTCCCCAGATCATAGCTGGTACATCTATGGGGGTAGCTACATTCGAGATGGCCATCACAGAGCAGGATTATGCTATTGTCACCACTACTCATACAGTACAGAGTGCTCTTTTACCATCTGGCTCTTCTGGCTCAAAAGGCAGAGCTAATTGCCCTGATTAGGGCCTTATAAATTAGATAAAGATCAAAGACTTAACATTTACACTGACTCTAGGTATACCTATCATATTCTACACTCTCATGCTGCTCTCCAGAAAGAATGAGGATTTCTCACTGCACAAGGCACTTATGTCAAACATGCCAGTCTCATCATGCAACTCATACAGGCAGCACAATTACCTAAACAAACAGCTGTTATCCACACAAAGCATGAGGCTCTAGGAAACAACTGGGCAGATACAGGAGCTAAAGAAGCAGCAACACTTCCCTTCCCAGCTACTCAAGCTCTTTCCCTTCAAACACTGTCCCAAACTACTACCCAACAGTAGGGGCTATTTGGAATGGACCATGGCTTTTCTATAAACGCAAATTTGTTTTACCTACTCAAGAAGAGAACTATCCTCCGCCACATTCACAACTCAGTTCCCACAGGGAGTCGACCTTTGAAAACCCTCCTGGCCTTCCTCCTTCATTGCCAGAACTTAGAAGAAAAATTAAAACAAATCACTAAGGACTGTCCTATTTGTCGACAAGTCAGCCCTCAGGGCCACCTTCAGCCCCCTCCTTCTCTTCCTACTCATCCACTCTGAGGTCATCTACCCAGACAAGATTGGCAGCCGGGCTTCACACCTAGGCCTCCACACAAGGGATACAAATATCTTTTAACTCTGATACATATGTTTTCAGGTTGGTTGGAAGCTTTCCCTCCTGAAACAGAATGAGCCTCTGAAGTCACTTGAGTTCTTCTCCGGGAAATAAATTCCCAGCTTTGGGCTCCCAACTTCTCTCCAAAGTGATAATGGCCTTGCTTTTACATCTCGAATTACTCAACTGCTCTCAGAAGCCCTGGATATCTCTCATAAGTTACACTCCAGCCTATCATCCCCAATCCTCTGGGAAGATAGAAAAGGCTCACTCAACTCTTAAACGACGGCTTACAAAGCTTTCCTTAGAGTTACGCCGAAGCTGGCCAAGTCTCCTCCCTTATGCTCTCTTGGGACTCCGTATCTTTCCTCAAGCGCCTTTATTCCTAAGTCCCTTTGAGCTCATGCATGGGTGATCAGTCCTCTTGACATCCTCAGTGTCCCCACCCCACTCAGTGTCTGGGTACTTACTTGCTAGCAGTGGAGTTAACTGGACAACTTCTTAGAGAATAAGCAGATACACACCCTCCTCGAATTCCACCTTTTGACTGAAAGGAACCGCAACCTTTGTGGGCTGATGATTGGATTTTGCTTAAAGATCCCCCAGAACAAACAGGCTTCTCAGGACCCTCCTGGAAAGGTCCATTTCAAGTCATTCTAACTGCAGCTGAGCTTCTGGGAACTCTGGGTTCACATCTCTCAGCTCAGATCTCCGAAACCTGCCTCTACTCATGATGAACGCCCTGAGAGCCCAGCAGCTTCTACCTGCCAGCCCATCGTGGACACCAGACTCTGATTCATTTGGCATAGGTTTCAAAACTGTGAGCTTTAATATGCAGTGGTATATAGGACATCTCGCTGTTCTTGTACTTCTACGCAACTCCTGTACCAGCTTATTTCCCCTTTGCCCATGCTGGGGACCATAATGATCATCTTACTTTTCATATCTCCCACTACAGGCATTATACAACATCCTTATTTGCCTACAGCGCAAGAGGCCAGCCAACTTCCTAAAACTGCCGATCCTTCTCAGTGCTATGCAAATTGTTGGATATGTGCCAATATTTCTCCACAAAAGGGGCTTGTCACTATCTCTGTGTCAAGCAAATGGAATCAGCTAGAGTCCTAAGTCATCCCCTCCTACTCTGATAGGGTAGGACTACGAACTCTGGGGAGGACTATGAACCCAGTTGTATTGGAACTCAAAATAGGCCCGCTCCTCCTAAGCCATCTATCTGTGCAATAGAGCTAACCTCAACCTCCAGGGAGCAATACTCTCCTCAGTTTCATTGGTGCAGCAAGCTCCCCTGTGCCTAATTAGTTCATCTCGCCCAGGCCCTTTGATGGGACAGTTTTCTGATGGCTCCCAGGCTTGCAATCACACTTTCCAGTTATCTACTAACTGTGTTTGGGTCACAATGCCTACCTGAATTCCTTTCCATAGCATATACTTTCCTAAATCCCATACCACCAATTGGACCCAACCAAACAGGTTGCTCAGAAAAATTTGTCCCCCACCTCTATGATCATGCCCCTTTAAGGGAAAAAACTTTTGGTTCTAACCTATTAATATCAACCACCAGGAATGTCAAAAACGAACTCCCCCTCCCACCAGGTGTATGAAGTACGATGGAATCCTACTATTCCTTCTTTCAATTGGGCATATAATCTCTCCACTGCTCCTGAACATGCCTCATACTTACCTCTGTTAGCTGGAATGACTTTAGCTTCCACTTATGAAGGCATAGAAGAACATTTTAGAGACCACGGTACGAGGCTTAATTTCAATATATCCATTGGTATTTGCCTAGATCCCAAAAATCGAACTTAACTTTCTTTGTGGATCAAATGCTTACCTATGCTTACAAATGCTTATCAAATGCTTACCTATGTACTTACCTATGCAAGTACAGGATCTTGTACTCTAGTATACATACTTCCTAACCTCACTCTTGCCAATGATACTGTGCCTCTCCCCATCTATTTCTCATACTACCGGACCAAGTACAAGGCCTTTGTCATCCTTGCAATAATTGGATTAATAGCCGGACTTGCCTCTGGTACATCTGGTTTACTTATTTCAATCTTTTCGGCACAAAGACTGTCTCTAGAAATGAGCCAATTAACCACAGACTCAGCCCAACAAATTACTATCTTACAACAACAAATAAACTCCCTGGCAGGAGTTGTCTTACAGAATAGAAGAGCTCTTGATCTCTTCACTGCCAGTCAAGGAGGCGCATGTGCTCTGCTGGGAGAAGATTGCTGTTTCTTTGTAACCAGTCAGAAAAAAATACAAACTAACCTTCAAAACATTCCAAAGAGGGCAAATACACTTCATGAGCAGGCAACTTGTGGCCGATGTGACTGGTGGGATATTAAAGTCCATGTGTGGTACTGGCTCTCTTGGTTAGTGCTTTTATTAAGGCCCCTTGTGTTTCTACTTTTGGCTCTCATTTTCAGATCCTGCATCCTCCGCTATCCGATAACATTCATGCAAAACTGAATTCAGGCCCTAGCTGTTTCTCTCCAGCAAAATCCCCATCCCACCTCTAACATAGCTTTCAAGAACATCTGTTTTCAATCCCTCCCCCTTAATGACCCAAATGAGCTCTGTCAGGCAGGGACATCCTTCCATCCATAAATCAGCAGGAATCCATTTCAGAAGAAAAGAGGCCTCCATCCATAATCCCCAGTTTTCTGAGTTCATTTTTTAAATAGAAATTTAATTTTAATCAGAGAGAGAGAGAGAGGAGAGAACGAAAGGGGCGGCCTTGCAAAAATAATAGGAAAATATCTAATCCCGCAATTTTCTAGCAACAGTTAAAGATCAATCCTATGAGTTCTCCTCTAACAGGCACCCCACGGGAGTTCTCTTTTGCACAACTTTTGAAAAGAGCTGAAAGACAGAAAAGAGATGTAAATCTTTCTCTTTAAAATTGTTTTTTTTTTTTTTTTGAGCATCTGCTTTTACAGAGTTCCTGAGAAAACAGCAGGAGGACGAGCTACAGCCTCAATCATATCTTGAGGGTGGAGTCACATCTCCTGTGATAATTCCTTCTCCAAGGAAAGACAGAGGAGCCAACTTTGGAACTTCGACCTCCTCACGGTTTTTGTTATCTACTGCTGCCAAGAGAAAAGGAGCAGATACAGCAATTTCTCCACTGTACTCTGCCATTTTACAACCCCCTTAAAAAACCTCAATAGCTGGTTTTGGGGCCAACTCATTCTTTCCTTCTACCTAGGTGCTGTCCTTCTCCCTACTCCCAGGGACAAATAAATAAACTTTTTATTTCTATCCTAATCTTTGTCTGGAGAAATCTTTTTTAAAACCCTCATGCACTAGCTCTCCACCCTAACGATGTCTCTAAGCTGTTTGAGATTGGATCACCCATGAATTCTGTTCCCCTGTCCCCTTGGAATTTGCTATATAAAGTTACAAAGTGAAGCCTCATAGTTCTGGTTTCAAACATAGAGCAAATTTGGAAATCTTTTGTCGTCTGGATATGTTCTTACAATAATGAGTTTGGTTATTAAAAAAAAATGCTTTAAAATGTGGTGAAATATTTGTAAATTTTATCTATCAGTAAACTCTTTACCAGAAGACATACAGTGTTGGCCTAATAATTTTGTATCCCTGGCCCAATTCCTTGTCCATGGAACCAGATCATCATTCAAAAGATTCGTCTCATCAGATTCTTCCTCACCTTCATCTTCAGCAATCTTAATGAAATGGATAGAAGAAGAAATAAAAAGAGTGAAAGCAACGAGAACAACTTTTAAAAATCTCTGGAGTGGAGAGAATTCCGTCCTCAGCAGTCCTGTAATTCATTCATTCATTCATCCTACAAACATCAGCTGTCCACACTATGCTAGGCTTTGTCCTAGGTGCAGATGCAGAACAAATAAAGAGGTGCTAGCTGATGTCCTTGAGCACTTTCAGGGTAGTAACATCCTTCTTGATCTGTTGACCACATGGCAAGATTTTATTTACTGCTCACATTAGTTGTGTCCTTGGCTACGAATTAACCATGACTTTGTTGCTTCAGAGAAGTATGTGTGAAAGCCCTCTGCATGCTGTTGGCCAAGGTGTTGTTTGCATAATGTATTGACTGTGCATGTTTAAACAACACCTAGGCGGATCATTAATACCAGGTACAGTTACTGAAATGAAACCCCTGAGAATATCTTCCCTGTGTAATCTGAATTCTTGCCAGTTTTCAAGGCTTTCCTGAAAGCAAATGGCTTTTTAAAAAATCTGTCTTTTTAAGTTTTTTCAACCACCGAACTAGTTAGAAGTGATTTCTGCTAAAGCTTTCTGAACCCAGACTGCAATATTATTGAGTGAAATAATACAAAATCTGAGGTTAAAAAGCAACCATAAGAAATTACAATTTGCTGAGACAATGTTATTTATCAATAAAACAATTTAATATGGTTTCTATTAAGTGCATTAGTTCTATGCTAAGTGTAAGATGATCTGTCTAATAAATGTATATTGCAGTGACACACAGCAAAATCTCCTTGCTGGGAAAATAGGGAAGGTAATCTCCCTGGGCCTTAGTTTCCTCATCCATAAAATGAGTTTGTTTGTGCTCTATTAAGAAAAAGAAGGAAATTGGGATTTTTGTATTTCTCTGAGTTCTTCTTATAGAGCAACTAGTACCTCCTGGGAGAGTAAATATTGGATTTGCAATTTTTGCTAGAGTCTAGAGCAGAGACCAGCAAATTATGGTTCTTGGGCCAAATATGGCTCACTACCTGTTTTTATAAAGTTTTTTCAAATACAGCCGTGGACATTTTTAAACGTTTTGCCTATGTCTGCTTTCAAACTATAAAGCCAGAGTTGAATTGTTACAACAGAGACCCAATGCTGAAAATATTTACTATTTGAATCTTTCCAGAATAAGTTTTCTGCTTCAAATTTACAGCAGGAATCTCCAAAGTAGGAATATATGTACTAAGGGAAAAGGAGGAAAATATTTAACTTGAACTTTCATGAATATTTATCTTCTGTCTCTGTCAAATTTCTATTTCTGATATGTATATGTGTCTCATACCCAATATTTAAGTAAATATACATGTAATTTATGTTAATAAATATACAGATATGGGAGCATATTCTCAAAATATGTTACTAGTACAGGGGACATGGTCAAAAAGATTTGGAGACCTTAGTCAAGAGACATAGATATTCCAGATAAAATACAAAAATATAATCTATAATATGATAGCAAATATACACTGTGACTTCAACAAAGGCCAGGCTACATAAGATACTCTTTTGTTTCAGCAAAAACAATTAGGGAACTTCAAGAAGAAATAAGTACTTTTGATAATTTGAAAATGTACATCTCTCATTTATATTTTAGAATGTGCTTCTAAAACTATCTTTGTAAAGGATCATTTTTTATTAATTTCCAAATCATTATGAACCCATATCTTTGTAAATATAAGAAAAATTAATTACCTAAAAATGAAATGAAAAATAAAAACATACAGTCATAATTTTTTAATTATTAGATTTAACAGACATACAATTACTGTGTCAAATTACTATAAAAGCTTCAAAATGTTTAATCTCAATGATATCTTTGTGGACTGGTATCAAACATGTTTGTAGACCTGTATTGGTTCATTACCACACTTAGAATAGCCCTGGTGTAGAGAACACAAGGGCTTCCAATAAAAGGCAGGAATCTGAAATTACTTCTAATGCCATCATTTATTGGGTATTAGCCTTGGGTATTTAAATGGTAGTTATAACAGCCACATGTTAGTGTGTAATTATTTGTAAACGAAAGCAAAATTTCTAAGTGCATTTCTTGACCTATGTATACATGGCAGTATATAGCCCTATAGAGAATAAAAAATGAAGGAGGATTTTCTTTGCTTTCATGAAGATTAAAGTCAAAGAGAACAGTGTTTATCAAACTTTTTTGATAGAAATTCAATGTTAGAAATACATTTTATATCATAATTTACTACATGAAGATATACACATATTAACAAAAGTATTATGAAATAGTTACCTTTATTGTATGCAATTCACTTGATATTTTCTATTTATTCTATTTGCTTTTATCTTTTATTTATTTTCTATTACTAGTCTATTCTTTCAAATTTTAAAAATTATTACATTGGTATAACCGGCTGGGCATAGTGGCTCATGCCTGTAATCCTAGCACTTTGTGAGGCTGAGGCAGGGAGATCACTTGAGGCCAGGAGTTGGAGACCAGCCTGGGCAACATGGCAAGACCCTATCTCTACAAAAATTTAAAAATAAGAGAAATTATCTGGGCATGGTGGTATTCACCTATAGTCCCAACTACTCAGTAGGCTGAGGCAGGAGGATCATTTTAGCCCAGGAGTTCCAGGCTGCAGTGAGCTATGATCCTGCCACTGCAGTTGAGCCTGGGTGACAAAGTGAGACCCTGTCTCTTAAAAAAAAATAGAAAACAATTTGTACAACCACTTTGTAAACAATTTGAGAGTATTTATTCATAGTGGCACTGTTGATAATAGCCTAAAACTAGAAATTACCCATCAATAGTAGAAACCATACACAAATGTATACATACTTTAAATTTCCATCTGGATAAAGTACTAAAACAATCAAAACTAACTTATGCAATGATATAGGATTCATGACATTGGTTTCTTTTGGAGAAAGGTGTTAGCAACAGGAGGTAGGCATGACAGGAGATTTTTAGGATGCTAGCAAACTTCTGTTTCTTGATTCACATGCTACTTTTACAGGTGCATTCAGTCCATAAAAATTTATTGAGCTATACTTACATGTACTTATGTGCACTTACCTGTATGTACTTATCATTACTCAAAGAACCAAAAAAGTGAACATCTAAAATAAGATAATTTTGAAGAAGAACAAGGCACCCTATCAGATATCAAGACTTATAAAGCTATAGTAAATAAGACAGTGTGGTAATGATATGCAGAAGGGTGATAAACCAGAATAATGTCCCCAAACAGACCAATACATACATAAAAATTTCACAAGTGATAAACACTTACCAAAACATTTACAAATCAACAGAAGGGGTAGGCTATTTAATAAATGGTGTTGGGAGAGCTGGTTTTCCATTAGAAAAAAATATTAGTTCTCTACTTCACATCATTTATAAAAATCAATTCCTGATGAGTTAAAAACTATATAAGAAAAGAAAAAGTTTACAGTATTTAGAAGAAAATATAATAGAATGTCCTTATGGCTTTGGAGCTTGGGAAGAAAATTTTAATCAAAGTTCTAAAATATAAAAAATAGAGGAAAATGGTTTAATTATAGTATATTAAAATTAAGATATTCTGTACACTAAAAACAACATTGAAATAAAAGCACATACTGAGAGAAAATATTTACAAAGGACATAACAGGCAAAAGATTAATGTATAGAATTTAAAATGTATTCATACAAATCAATAAGAAAAACTACAAATAAGTGAACAAGACATACACAGATGAGCAAGAATATATAATAAACATATGAAAAGATGTTCAACCTCCAGTTATCAGAAAAAAACAAATTTATTTATTTTTTTAAATTTCAGAATATCATGGGGGAACGAATGTTTTGGTTACATGAATCGCTTTTGTACAACTTGAGTTAAAATTATAAGTGTGTCCATCACCCATACAGTGTTCATTGTACCCATTAGGTGTGAATTTATCCATCCTCCCTCCCCCTCCCCTCTGCTTGATAGCCATTGAATTTTACTACCATATGTACACACGAGTGTTGATATATAAGTTTCAATTTAGTAGTGTGTACATGTGCTTTTTGTTCTTCCATTCCTGTGATACTTCACTTAAAAGGGTGGTCTCCAGTTCCATCCAGGTTGCTATAAAAAGTATTAGTTTACCATATTTTATGGCTGAGTATATCACATTTTATTGATCCACTCATGTATTCATGGACACTTGTGTTGTTTCCACACCTTTGCACTTGTGAATTGTGCTACAATAAACATTTGAGTGCAAGTGTCTTTTTTACAAAATGTCTTTTTTTCCTTTGGGTAAATATCCAGTAGTGGGATTGTTGGATCAAATGGTAGGTCTATTTTTATTTCTTTGAGATACCTCCATACTACTTTCCATAGAGGTTGTACTAGTTTGCAGTCCCACCAAGAGCATGTAAGTGTTCCTTTCTCTCCACATCCATGATAGCATCTGTCGTTTGGGGACTTTTTGATAAAAGCCATTCTCACTGGGGTTAGGTGATAACTCATTGTGATTTTTGATTTGCATTTTCCTGATGCTTAGAGACGTGGAGCATTTTT